GCCATATCAAAAACTGAACCGATTTCTACAAAACTTGGCACACGTTAGGCTATACTAATTTTGGGTCTTTGGTGCACCTTTTACTTAAAATCGGGCGAAACTATATAGGAGCTACATCTAAATCTGAACCGATTGCAGCAAAACTTACCACACGTTATATTATAGTATGTTTTGCAATATGTTGTGCCAATCGGAGCTATATCTAACTCTGAATCGATTTTCACTAAACTTTGCACACATCATTTTAGACTTAATTCAGTACACTATGCCAAATTTCGTGCAAATCGAAGGATATATAGGGACTTGGTACACCATTGAAATGGAATCAGACGAAATTTCAATAGAGCTCGTCCTTGGGGCAAATAAGTAACATAAATGCGACAATTTAACATGGACAGACAGAGAGACGGACGGACATGCATTAATCGACTTAGAAAGTGATTCCATGCATACATGTGTCTATCTCGTCTCCTTTTGATTGTTACAAACATATGGACAATGACATAATACCCTGTACCACAGTGTGGTGAAGGGTATAATTATTAATATTGACCCAAGTTTTAGTCTAGCCCAATGTAACCGTACCCCAAATATTCGGAATTTTAGGTATTTTTGACACGTTGTTCAACTGAGTGAGATTTAATATAGTATTTTGGGTTCTCATTGTATAGCGCATGTCAAACGAGTTGGTTGTAATTAGGTTATTTGGGTTCTCATTGAATAGCATTTCCATACTAAACTTTATTAATATTGGCCCAAGTTTAAGTTTGAATTGAACCCCCTATAATTATTTCACTGCCCAAATTTATCAATATTGATCGCCGTTTTGGTATTGCCCAATAAAACGCCAGCTCCCCTATTAGGTAATAATTTTGTCTAACGTATTTTTCGGTATATTCAAGGTCTTATCATAGCATGAGTTTTCTCCTAGGAGCACCCAATATTTTTACAATTTTTGAATATCATCCTCATGATGGAGAATATTATAAATTCGACGAGCACAGCTTAACATCGTTTTAGCTTTTTGCTTGTTAACGTAGTCACTGAGAGAGAAATGGTTTTCATAAATCTATACAATTTTCCGTGTAATTTTCATGCATTTCGAGGACTTGATTTAGTTGTGTGGGAATACCATCGACTTTTTAATACTCAAAATATTCTTCCACAAAAACTTGATCCACATTCCAGATGTTTCAAATCAAATGTTATGCCCAAATGTCCAGCAATAATAAAATCTATTACATTATGAATGAATTGAGGGATTATAAAGTCATCAGGGGTCATTTAATTAAATATTTATTAATATCAATAAAAATAATCAAACAACCTACCAGAAGCTTAATTAAACAATTTAATTCATATAAATATTGTCAAAAGTGACAAAATCAAAAACAAAAAATCGCCATTAAACAGAATAACAAGGCGATGACACGCCAGTCAATTAGGAATTGTAAAAAATTAAAATGATTTATTATTCAACATTAAGAAGGCCAACGAATTATATTAATAAATATTTAATTTTAAAAACATTTTCCCTCACAATGATTTGAATATAAAAGTAGAATAAAATTTGTAAAATTGTATCACTTCCTCGAAAGATCTAATCCTTATTATACATACAAAAATGGTAAGAAATTATATTGCTTCCATATAGCAGGGATTGTAATTGATATACATATATTTCTTTTTTAGAAAAAGACAATTTTTGCTTTGGCTGTTTTGGTCTCAGTCGCACAGGCGGCTTTCTTATATCCCGCTGCATCAGCACCAGTTGTTCGTTATTCTGTTCCAGCTGCCGTACCAGTAGCTCCCGCTGTGGTGGCTGCACCAGTAACCAGAACCTATGTCCAGGCTGCATCTGTACCCGTTGTACAATATGTCCGTCCATTGACTCCAGTACCCGTTGTACAATATGTCCGTCCATTGACTCCAGTAACTACTACCTATGTACGTCCCGCAACTTATTACACCCGTACCGATTATTTGCGTCACAAATAATTTAGTTGTCTAATTGTAATTTGTACACCAAAATATTTCTTTTTTAATATATCTGTTGCAAACAAAATGATTTGTGCGTTTACAATAGAACTTTATACGGGGTTACAGGGAGGATTTATTTTACATATGAGTCGTTTATTTTAAAAGAGGTTTAAGTCAAATTTTCTTATACATATTTGCGATAATAAAAGATTTAGGTCTGATTTTTTTTCAAAAATGTTGTTAAGTGGTACAAATTTTGTTTGTGGCTTTGTGTCCTTAAACATGATAGTATGTAGAACATAATATGTTATGTGAACTATTCTACAAAACCGAGATTTGTATCAAAACCTAAAACTGACTTAAACCACTTTCAAAATAAACCAGCCATATACGCAATCCAATTGGCAATTTATATCTTATGGATTTACTAAATCTACTAAAATGTAAGCGTACTGTAAGTGACTGTTATCATACCCTACATAAAAGTTGGAGTGTCTATAAAATTTGTCATTTCCTTTGCAACACCTCAAAATATTCACCTCACATTTTGTTGATCAGAATAAAATAAATATGTCGATTTACTCATGTCCGTGTGTCTCTCTGTTAAAATCATGAGATCGCAATATTAAAGCTCTGAAATTTTGCTCAGACATTGCAAATAGTTCTAAGATGTTTGGTATTGCAAATAGGATATAACAAAGTACAGGTCGCATTTATGATCCGATTTGAATGAAATTTGGACCAAGGACAAACCCTATTGAAATTGTGAAAAATCGGTTCAGATTTAGATATAGCTCTCATATATATTTTCGTCCGATTTAAGGTAAATGGGGCGCCAGAGTCCCTCTATATCTTTCGATCTGCACGAAATTTGGCACAGAGTACTGAATTAGATCCAGAATGATGTGTGATAAGTTTCAAGAAAATCGGTTCAGATTTAGATATAGCTCCTATATATATTTTCGTCCGATTTAAGGTAAACGTGGCACCAAAGTACCTATATACCTTTCGATTTGCACGAAATTTGGCATAGCGTACTGAATTAGGTCCAGAATGATGAACCGAAAATTGGTTCAGATATAGTTCCCATATATATTTTCGTCCGATTTAAGGTAAACGGGGCACCAAAGTACCTATATATCTTTCGATTTGCATGAAATTTGGCATAGCGTACTGAATTAGGTCCAGAATGATGTGTGCTAAGTTTCGTGAAAATCGGTTCAGATTTAGATATAGCTCCCATATATAGTTTCGTCCGATTTAAGGTAAACGGTGCACCAAAGTCCCAATATATCATTGGATTTGCACGAAATTTGGCATAGAGTACTGAATTAGGTCCAGAATGATGTGTGCTAAGAAATACTGCAAATCATCAGAATAAAATGTTGTTCAAAATAAAAATTCCACCGAAGTGCTGCAATTCAGTAATCCGAGTATTTGGAGGGTTAAAACTCTATCTTTTTAGCCGCATTTAGCTAACGAATTTGCAGTAATTTGTCATTGCGGATACCTGGTGAATAAAAAAACCTTCCCAATACAGGTCCATGTTTTAAAATAGATCCTACCCAAAGGCCTTAGGCATTTTTCGGCATGTTTAAGATCTAAGGTCAGCTTCGACTTATCAACCGAACCGCAAGTGGGATCGATCGTAACGATCAATCGAACTCATCATTTCCATGAATTTTAAGGATCATCCGCCTATAATTAATTCTGGCTTTATAACATCTAAAACCAAATCATTATTCAAAATACAGTGTGATGCCGGTTTTGCAATGCCCAAAACTATTAAGGAATGGATAAACCTGGGGTTCTTTATACCCTTACATCAGCAACGTTCTATGTTGTACTTGAACAATGTGCTCAGGTCGCATTTTCAAGTTGTAGGTCAGTATATAGGCCACTTTCAGTATCGGAGTCCGATCAGGCACTCCACTTTGATCCACGTATGCTTAGGTTTTACGTTTGGGAATTGGGTATGGATACCATCGACTTCCAAAATATTGACAATTTTCTCCCGGCAACTTAACCCAAAACGTCAATATCATACAAAAAGCCTATCCACAGGTTTTAAATGTTTTCAATCAAATATTAATCCCAAATGTCGAGCCATATCATAAAATCTATAACATTATGAATGAATTGAGGGATTTTAAAATAATTAGGGGTCATTCAATTAAATATTTTTATTAATGCTAATATAAATAATCAAGCAAGCTACCAGAAGCTTAATTACAAAATTTAATCGATGCAAAATTGTTATTAAATTTGACAAAATCAAATAATATCTACATTAAATAGACTAACAAGACGATGACACTGTCAATTAAGAATTGTACAAAATTGAATGATTTATTAGACAAAATTAAGAAATTCAACGAATTATAATATATTATTAATTATTTAATTTTGCAATTGTAAGCTCACAATGAATTGAATATGTATATATATTAGAATAACATTTGTAAAATTGTGTCACTTCCTCGAAAGATCTGAATCTTATTGTACATACAAAATGGTAAGAGATTATATTATTTTAAATATTACAAGGATTGACACATATCCTTTTTTATTGCTTTTAGAAACTCACAATTTTTGCTTTGGCTGTTTTGGTCTCAGTCGCTCAAGCGGCTTTCTTATATCCCGCTGCATCGGCACCAGTTATTCGTTATTCTGTACCAGTAGCTCCCGCCGTTGTGACTGCACCAGTAACCAGAACCTATGTCCAGGCTGCATCTGTACCCGTTGTTCAATATGTCCGTCCATTGACTCCAGTAACTACTACCTATGTACGTCCCGCAACTTATTACACTCGTACCGATTATTTGCGTCACAAATGATTTAGTTGTCCATTTGTAAATTGTACACCAAAATAATTGTTTCAAATATATCTGTTGCAAGGAAAATGGCATTGGATGTTTATATTGACTACTAATTAATATACTACTACGGTAGAACGTTAGATACTAAAAAAATATATACGTTAAATGAACCACGAATAATAAAAAACTACGTTAAATAAAATGAAAGGTTTGCATTCCGGGCTTTTGGAGGCTGCCAATGCAAACAAAGTTTCAGCGGCAATACTGAAGGTTTGAAAGTATTTTTATACCTTACACCGCACTGTGGTACAGGGTTTTATGTCATTGTGCATATGTTTGTAACAGGCAAAAATAAACGAGATAGACACATGGTTCCTTTTGAGAATATGCATAGAATCACTTTCTAAGTCGATTTATACATTTCCGTCCGTCCGTCTGTCCGTCAGTCTGTCTGTTGATGTTAAATTGTAAACAAAGTACAGTACGCATTTATTATCCGATTTGGCTGAAATTTGGTACAGCTCATTTATTTGGCCCAAGGACGAACCCTATTGAAATTGGGAAAAATCGGTTCAGATTTTCGTCCGATTTAAGGTAAATGGGGCACCAAAGTCCCTATATATCTTTCGATTTGCATGAAATTTGGCACAGAGTACGGAATTAGGTCCAGAATGATGTGTGCCAAGTTTCGGGAAAATCAGTTCAGATTTAGATATAGCTCCCATATATAGTTTCGTCCGATTTAAGGTAAATGGTGCACCAAAGTCCTTATATATCTTTCGATTTGTACGAAATTTGTCATAACGTACTGAATTGAGCCTATAATGATGTCTGCCAAGTTTCATGAAAATCGGCCCAGATTTAGATATAGCTTCCATATATAGTTTCGTCTGATTTCATGTAAATGGTGCACCAAAATCCCTATATATCTTCCCATTTGCACGAAATTTGGCATGTCGTATTGAATTGAGCCTAGAGCGATGTCTGCCAAGTTTCGTGAAAATCGGTTCAGATCTAGATATATATTTTTTCGTCCGATTTAATTTAAATAATGTGTCAAAGTTCTTATGTTGCATAACGTACTGAATTTAGTCCAGAATTTTGTATGCCAAGTTTCGTAAAAATCGGTCAAGATTTAGATATAGCTGATATGAAGTAATTGACGCACCAAGAAACCAATATATGGCTGATAGGAACTACACGTACCGAACTTAATATAACTTAACCTGTGATAAGTTTCGTTGAAATCGTTTCACATTTGGGTATAGCTATATATATATATATATATATATATTCGTCAGATTTTAAGTAAATTGTACATCAAACTCCTCATGTTTGTCAGATTGACATCAAATTTTGCACAACGTACAAAATTGAGCCTAGAATAACGTAGTTACGTTATCTAGAAGTCGATTTTCATACTTTTGTCACAACGAATGACATGTTTATATAATTTAGTCCGATTCACATTTAGATAAATATCACATATTTTATTTCATCCAATTTCATGTTAATAATGCTGTTTAATATACCCATAGTGGTGAAGGGTATCATATAGCCCCGTCCGACTTTACTACTTTCCTTACTGGGTTTTTTTATTGAAGTGGCTGTATTTTGGCATTCCACGATCCCAATGATATTACATCTGAATTATGTACAATTTGGTATTTTAGGTACCAAAAAATATAGATATTAATACACTTTTTAGGGACCAATATGTCATTAAGGAGAGTATAAAATGAAGTCTCGGTATTATGAGGAATTTTGGCAAATTTATTAACCAAATTACCAACAAATTTGTTTTGTTTTTTCAATTCTTATTGGATAACAAATCGTGTTACAGAAAACTATTTACTAAAAACATTCTGGCTTGGGTGAACTATTGTGGTATCGGGTGAACCTATATATATATATATATATCTATTATTACAAAAGTCATTCTAGATATGTTGCGCAAACTTTAGTGATTATAGAATAAACATTGGACATTAGTGCGCACTAATTGCCGATTTTCACCAATCTTAATAGGGTTCGCCCATATGCCAAATAAATGAGTTGTATCAAATTTCATATTATTTGGATCATAAATGCAACCTGTACTTTGTTCACAATTTAATATCAACACACGGACGGACATGCATGCAGAATGTTATTTTAATGATGTTTTGAAAAGGAACATTTTGCATGTTACATGAGTGTTAAGTGATGAGTGTTGAGAAAATTTAGCACGGACTTCCGTAAAATAGCGAAATTCCAATTTGATTTAAATCTGTTCAAATTTGGTTAGTCTTATGTGATCTGGGGCATCGTCAGTAAAATAATAATGACAAAGGTCTATATAATTGTTTAATTAATATTTCAATGTAAAATGTTGGTTTTATCCAATTCTAAAATAAATACGCACAGCAATACAAGTACACCTGAAATACAAACATCCAAATGGGATAAGTCGGGTGATGAAATATGAGTATGTTTTGAAAATATATTAATTCGCCTTTCAGCATTGCTAAGTATAAATTAGAAAATCAATTATAACCGGTGCTACCAAAATGCGTCATTTGTCAAACAGTTAACAAACACCAAAATAACAAGGATATGAAATATTGTATGATTTCTAAATGCAATGAAAACCAGTGAGCGTCTTACCAACTAATTAGAATGGCTGTTATGATAATGAAGGTCTGTATTTAGCGGGTCATATGATGCCGCTGTTGACATCTAAAAGGGAGAATCTGAGCGCTCGGTGCTAGTTGCCTAGGGTATCATATGGTCTGTTTGGCATGTGCCAAATACTTTAAATAATACTAAATTAAACAGATGGGACTGGTGGTTAAAAACTTCGTAAAAATACCTCTGTTTCATGCTAAATTTTTGGTATTAAGATTTGACACCGAATGAGAAAGAAAGAAAAGCACTAAACCACCGAATAATAGCCAGTACCCATATATTAAGGCTATCGTAAAATCCAGTAAGGAAAGTAGGAAAGTCGGACATGGTCGACTATATGATACCCTTCAATAGGGTTCGTAATACCCTGTACCACAGTGTGGTGAAGGGTATAATGAATCCAATATTGATGATTAGTAATAGGAAGGTTTTCTATACAATTTTCTACATGATTCCAAGTACCAAATTACAGGCAATTTTGTTGAACCATGTCCCACACACATAAACCCAAAATACATATATGTGGGAGATACCGTTATATTGGTGCTGACGTAAAAAGTGTACCAATATTGTTAATTTTTGGTAGAAGGATATGTTACTTAATGAGAACACAAAAGAATCAAAAGACTGACGGGGTAATGGGGTCTTTACCACTAGGTTTTCCATTTTAATGTTTAAATTAGATTTACATGTTTGTTTGGGTAGCTGCAATTGCAATCAGATCAGAATTTGTTATGCTTAAGGAGTTATGCAAATCTACTCACTTTTTTCCAAGATACCCATAGCGCATATTTCATATACCGACTACACAAACGAAAGCAATTGAAATTATAAAACAATAAGTATTTTATGTTTTAAATATGGGATTCCTTCCCAACCTGTCGCTAATAATGTGTAGGTCTGTTTGTTTCCAATCTATTTACATGTTTTCTTGAAGCAATTATTAAAAACCATCTGCAACGGATGGGAATTACCAGTTTAGAAATAATAATAATATTTTGAAAACCGATGCATTTCTAGATCAATAATCCGGTATATACCGCAATTTCAATGCCTAATTAATAATTTCATTTTATTATTGTGTATAAAAATGGTTTTTATGTCAAAGCTGGCGTTTATTTTCTTGCAGATTTTGTACTAAATTGGATCGAAATATAACAGCAAAATGGTAAGTAATATTTTCAATAACAAAAAATAAAATTTTTAGACAATTTCATAATAAATTTAATTTTAGAAAATATTACTCTTAGTTGCTGTCCTGCTGATGAGTTCATCATCCTTCGTTCGAACGGATGTAAGTGAACTGTATTTACCACCTCATCATGGTAATAGTCATACGGCGAGTCATATTTCAAAACCTAGTCAACAATTTTTACCTCCAGCAACAAGTTATGGTGTTCCTGATACATCTTTAAATACTGCACACCGCAGCGGTTCTGCAGCAACCGAGAATGGTAGCTCCGGGACACAAAACTCTGCCTCATATTCCGATGGCCAAAACACTGCTGGTTCTTCTCCAGCTGTTATCACCCACGTCCACAATGGTGGTCACAACGTTATCTATGTTGGAAATCACCAAGGCCATGAAAGTGCTGGTAGCAGTAATTATAATCAATATGCGGCTCCGACTGTTAGTGATTCTAATCATCATGAACATTATCATGAAGCAGATCACTCACACCATCAGCATGAGGATCAACATCATCATCACAGTGGTCAAGTTGCAGCTCCGTCCGCCGTATCCCTGCAAACTGCTCCTGCCCCTGCAATTCAATTCGCCTCCCAAGCTGCATATCCCCAAGCCAGCGTTATTCCAAGTTTTAGTTATATTATTCCAGCTTTCAACTATTTTATACCAGCTCAAATTCAGGCTCAAGTAGGAGCTGCTGCTGCAAGTACAGTTCCTAGTCAGACAACTGCTCAAGTAGAATTTGGAGGTGCTAAATATGCTGCTAATGGTGGTTACGTTCACAAGAAATAGACTTTAATAAATATAGAGGCTGCTGAATTATATCTCGTGTTACTATATTTCTTGCCATATTATCTATATATAAAAGAGCATAGAGCCCAGACAAAACGGCTGAAGCTAGAAGCTTGAAATTTTGAGTGTGGGTTGTTTTCGGTGTGTAGGCGTGAGATAAGGCTGACTTTTTTGGAAATTCGAACTAGAAGCGAACGAAAAGTACTAAAATGTAGCAAATATGGTACCCTTTGTATTAGGCGAACGCGAAGACCTAGAATGGAATGAGTGTCACTGACGGAGAGTTAGAAAGAAATACCAAAGGGGTTTTTGTTCTAACTGGTACTAAATTTAGTGGTGGTGATATGGAGGTAGTCTTGAAAATGTGTTATTATGTGTTCGAAAAGTGCTAAATGGAAGTAAATGTGGAATATTTTTTGTATTCCCTTTCCGCGTTAATGTTGTTAATGTTTATTGAGGTCATATTTAATTACTAGTTGGAAAAGGACGGCCCCAATACGATGTCTATAAACAAGAGTTATTTACACAAATCCTGTTATAAACCATAATAAATTTCAGCATTATGGCTTACAACAATCGCTTAGTACAATTGTCGGTATTGATCCACTTTTTGGTATATCCCCCATTATTCCTTACATCGGAAGTCTTGACAGATGGATGATGTCATTGCTAATTAATGTCAATACTCTTTGGTGAAAATATTAGGAATTTAATATTAATATTTTGACAGTAATTTAATGTTCCTGCTCGTCAATATGTCTTTGAAACATATTTACTTATTATACCCTTCACCACACTGTGGTACAGAGTATTATGTCTTTGTGCATATGTTTGTAACAGGCCAAAATAATCGAGATTGACCCATGGTTTCTTTTGAGAATATGCATATAATCACTTTCTGAGTCGATTTGTGCATGTCCGTCTGTCTGTCTGTCCGCCCGTCCATGTATTTTTTGAACATTGAATTTCGGTATTTTGCAAATTCTTTGTAATTTGTTTTTTTTTAGTCGTATATGGTAACAAACCTCCCTCCCAAAAATTATTAATATTCGCCCCCTTTTAGGGGTGGTCCCCTTATAACCCCCTTTTTATACCCTTCACCGCACTGTGGTACAGGGTATTGTGTCGTTGTGCATATGTTTGCAACAGCCAAAAATAATCGAGATAGACCCATGGTTCCTTTTGTGAATATGCATAGAATCACTTTCTGAATCGATTTATGCATGTCCGTCTGTCCGTCCGTCCGTCCATGTATTTTTGTTAACAAAGTACAGATCGCATTTATGATTTGGATGAAATTTGCCACAGGTCACTTAATTGGCCCAAGGACGAACCCTATTGGAGAAAATCGGTTCAGATTTAGATATAGCTCTCTTATATATACTTTCGTCCTATTTTAGGTAAATGGTGCACCAAACTCCTAATGTTTGTCAAATTGACACGTTGAGTTTTGATGAAATTGGTGCCATATGTATGTCTGATTGAGATTATTTTTTTAACCGTGGGGCATACTGCATAGCGTATTTCATGTTTGTTATAAATCGATTTCCATAAATTTGTACAATAGTACGCAAGCTTCGGAAAGAGATAAACTTTAGCATAGGTTGCAAAAAGGCATGGGTATGTTCCTTCGAGGGAAGATCGATATGAAATTGTTAGGATATACATTGCTCATATGCTGCAAGGCATAACTCAAGAAACGTGATTTTCGAGTTAATGATGCACGATTGTTCGCTATTATAGACCTCATGCTGTGTAAAAAATTCATATGAATATATCTTACACACCCTAATTGAGAAGCTGTAGAAGTTCCTCTGTCCCATATAAAGTGTGAGTAAACTGAAAACTTAAAACACATTTTCTGCAAAACGTTTTCCTTTTTTTGTTTTTGAGTCGTGCCTGTCTTGCAGCAAATGCGCGATATGTACAATATACCCAAAGTGGTGAAGGCTATCATATAGTCGGCCCAGTCCGACTTTACTACTTTCCTAACTGGTTTCACTTGTTTTTGACTGAGACGGAATTTTGCACAGCTTGACCCAATAATGACGTGTGCATTACGTTGTTGCAAATTGTTCTAATTTCTGATGAAAATCCCTAAGTTGATGCGATTGACATGAAATTTGTAATATATTGTCGAATCATAGGTGTTTGATTTGATTGAATTAGGTTTATATATCGATATAGATCACATAATATTGTACCCATACCACCAACATCTTAGGAAAGAACATTTATTAAGCTTCATTAAAATCAACATCAGACACTTACACGACTTTCGATGGGAAAAGATTGTCCCCCGCTCTGCGTACGCCCCTGGAGCTTACTTTACAGGTTCGGTTTTTTAAATTAATTTCCCAGACACACTGCAAACGACAAGTTTCTATCTTGCAGTTTGTATTTTGTTATTCACATTAGATATTCTCTCCTTATGGATGTTTCACTCTCATCCATTTCATTTTATTTTTTGATTTTTTTTTTGTGACAAGCATGAACAAATGATCTAGTATTGTTTTTAAAAATTATTAGAGTGTTCAATATTTGCATCAGTTATAGACATTTCATTCAGTAAACAGGAACTATCATTTGGAGACAGGTTTCCGCTGAAATTATGGTAAGCAATCTGTTTTGTTGATATAAAATTTTCTTTAATCAAGTTTTATCGTTTAGAAGCTACTCATCTCAGCGGTTGCAGTTTTAATATGCATAACATTATGCCAAGCCGAAAATAATTCAACAAATGATAAAGCGACTGTGGAAATTACGATAAATACTGCTTCACAAGCAGCCCAAAGTACTGCCCCAGTCCAACAACCAGCTGCCAACAATGTGTTACCTAGATTTCCTGTACCAATAACCTCCAATAATCCTAGTGCTTTTTCATACAGTCAAGGTGTCACAATTCCCAGTCTGCCCTATGCTAATGCAGCTCCAGCTTTTGCTGTTGTCGTACCGGGTCCCACTCCTGTCGCACAATACCCTAGTCAAGGTAGTTCTGTTCTAGTTCCATCGTCACAGTATTATGGCACGAGTTCATTTGGAAGTATCCAAGGTAGTGGCCAAGGGGGATATATACAAGCTTTTCCTGTTCCAGCATATCAATATTATCCTTCCAGCCCAATTATATATTATCAAGGAATTTATAATTTTGTTCCTCACGCTGTCGCTAGAATTATAGTTCCAACAGCATCAGTTATACAATATGGAAATACTGGTACTTATGTTCCATCTTATGTACCCTACCAACATGTGAACCCAGTTGTTTCATCTACTCCTGCTCAGCAGTACATTACAAATAGTGGAGTGTATCCACAGGGAGGCTATTTACAACCATTAAATATTGGTAGTCAAATTTTACTTAATCCAGGCATACAATCTAATGCATACCAAAGTAGTGCGAATCAATATCGATACAAAATTAAAAAATAATAATAAAACATAGACTGATAACTACAATTTGTTCTATCATTTCGAAGGGGAATACAACTATTTTAATGTTATTTTTCAAACGTTAGAACAGGTCTATTTTGAAATAGCATCATAATATAGTGAATCAGATTTATGACAACTTTTTACCATAACCATTTGCGGTTGCCGAACAAGTTAGAATTTGTGGAATCCAAGGTCTTGCTGTTGTTCTAATTTGAAGTATATTTTTTAATTCGAACTTTGAATGTAAGCCCGAATTTAATTATTTTGGTAATTTAAAATAACATCGTTCTTCGGAGAAAATATTGTTAATAAAATATTATTATACCCTCTACTGTTTTTACCAACCAAAGTGTTTGTTATTTGGAATTTCAATTCCTAGCCAATAAAAAACTTTTTTTCACCAACCAATGATCCGTCATAATTATACCCTTGACATAGTGGTAAATCCAAAGACCCAAAGGTATGCCGATTGGCACAAAATTTTTCACAGCGTACTGAAGTTGCTATAAATTAACTTGTGTCAAGTTTGGTTAAAATCGGTTCAGATTTATATATAGCTCTTTTATATATTTTCGTCCGATTTTGTGCAAATAGTGCACCAAAGCCCAATAATATGGCCGATTGGAACACAATTCTGAAAAATGTACAGATGTAGTATAACCTAACTTGTGGCAAGTTTCGTTGAAATCGGTTCAGATTTGGATGTAACGCTGCAGGTATTCTTCTTCCTTTAAAATAGCTGAAGATATTCGGCTTCTTTTGAAAGAGCTGGAGGTATTCTCCTTCTTATAGGAGAGCTGGAGCTCTTCTTCTTCCTAGAGGAGAACTGTAGGTATTCTTCTTCCTGTGGAAGAGCTGCAGGTATCCTTCTTCTTGTGGAAGAGCTGCAGCTATTCTTCTTATGGAAGAGCTGGAGGTATTCTTTTTGCTATATGAGAGCTGCATGCAATTTTCTTCCTATAGAAATGCTGGAGGTATTTTTCTTCCTATAGGAGAGCTGGAGGTCTTCTTCTTGCTAGAGGAGAACTGTAGGTATTCTTCTTCCTGTGGAAGAGCTGCACGTATTCTTCTTCCTGAAGAAGCGCTGCAGGTATTCTTATTCCTGTGGAGGAGCTGCAGATATTCTTTTTTTGGGTAAATGGTGCACCAAACCCCTCATGTTTCTCAGATATTTAGCAGGTGTCCGATTTAGATTGCGATTTCCAACTCTGCTTAGCTTTTTGCACTACCACCATCTATTGCATTGATGTGAAACTAAACCCTCTGTTATACTGTTAAGCTTTCAGCAACATACTCTATTAACAGTACCAATAGTATTTGAATTTGAATAAAACTGGTCTTAACACGAAAGCTTTCTTATTTAATTTGAGAATATATTTGTTTCAAGTATTTCAATTCACAATTTACAGTGGTTTCAAAGTTGAAAAAAATTGATACCAATAAAAAAAACATAAAATGATAAGCTGTACCACATTTGGTATATGGTATATGGTCCATCCGCTCAGTCCAATTTTGGCATAGTCTCATAAAATATGTAAAAATCAACCTCTATATGCACCATACTATGTATAGTTATAGGATGCTGGTATATATTTTTAAAATGTTTCCAGGAATTTATATAGACATTTTACGTTTTTAATGGGTAAAACGATTTCCCAAAAAATGTTCAAAGACTTCATAAACGAGACGCATTGTATGTAAATTGGCATACAATCTATGTTGTATTATAGGTTCGTGTGGTCCAATGAGTTTTTAACACCACCTCAAAATTTCGAAATATTTCGGCATAGATTTAGATGGTTCACAAAAGTCTTTTGATTTACACGAAATTTGTTATAGCCACCTGAATTAAGTCTAGAATGATGTGTGCTAAGTTTCGTGAAATTGGTTCAGATTTAGTTATATCTCTCATATACTTTCGCCTGGGTAAATTTTAAGTAAATGGTGCACCAAAGTCCCTGAAAATCATCCGATTTGCACGAATTTTTGAATATCGTACTGAAAATCGTTTTAGATTTCGATATAGCTCCCATATATAGTTTCACTCGATTTTAGGTAAATGGTGCACCAAAGTCCCTGCAAATCATTTGATTTGCACGAATTATGGCATAGCGTTTTAAATTAGGCCTAGAATAATGTGTGCAAAGTTTCGTGAAAATCGGTTCAGATTTTAATATAGCTCCCATATATAATTTTGTCCGATTTTATGTAAACTGTGTACTGAAGTCCCTATATATCTTTCGATTTGCACGGAATTTGGCACAGCGTACAGAATTGCATTTATAATAATGTGTGCTAAATTTAATGAAAATCGGTTCAGATTTAGATATAGCTCCCATATATATTGTCGTCCGATTTTATGTAAGTGCACTAAAAATCCTTAGCTAGTCCGATTGACACAACGTACTGAAGTTAATATACATTAATCTCTGGAAAGTTTCCTTGACATCGGTTCAGGTATAGATATAGCATAGGTTCCATATATAATTTCGACCTATTAATGTTAATTATACACCAAATAACCAATAGATGTCTGATTGATATTAAATTTTATGCCGTGCAGCATACCAAATAGCGTGAGTCAAGTTTGCTTTAAATCGACATACAAAATTTAGCATAGGTTGCAGAAAGACATATGTAGGGATTGATGTTAGTCGGTTTAAATTTAGATGAAGATCACATATTTAAGTTCGTTTGATCTCAATGTTCCTTCAAAAAGGCTGATATAGTTTCGGCCTGCATTTTCGCATTTGTCGAAGAAAGACATTAAAATTTTGTTCACTTCTATTTTTAACACACAATAACTCACAACTGAATGCACCAAACAAAAAACAGCAAACTAATTTTATTATTGCGAAATGTCTCCCTTCCAACGAGCATAAATCTTTGATCGATACTTCACGAAAATCTATCAGTACAGCCATCTGCCGAAAAAAGGGATTTCTTCTTCCCCAACCTAATGTATATATATATATATATATTGGCGATAATCTTCAAATTAATTTTTTGCGCTGAAACGTGAATCACCGACCTAAGACAATGTTTTATCAAAGGTATCAAATCATGAAAACTCGTTTATTTTTTTAAAAAATACGGTTAAAATATTTATTTCATATTTATGCTAAGCCGATAGATTAACATAAATTAAATAAATAAAACATTATATGCATATTCATAAAAAATAAAAAAAATAGTTAATTATGTAGATAAACAAAATGTTTGTTTCCATTTATTGAATATAATATTATTAGGTGTGAATTTATGCAAATAAATTTTCAACAAGTGAAAAAATATCCCCCACCAATTTATAGAGATATCAGTACATTTTAACAAATTAATCAATAACAATTAATGTTATCACTTTACTAGAGTAAAATTTTGTTTTTATCCAATATCCATATTAATTTCCCGAAATACTCTTAAAAAACAAAATCCATAACAATACAAAGATATTTGTCAAGGCCCACAGCAATGACCTGTATTGTCAACTTGCGATCAAGGTTACCGTAAATTCATAGATCAATGAATATTTATTATTAAAAAACAAGCAGGTTACTTCTCTACTTATGCCGTAGAATGGCATCAAGAATAATAATTTTATTCTAATTTTGAATAAAAGCCTAATCATTATAGGAATAATCAATTTAATTTAATTACAGTAAAATCCATTTATGAAATATTATTTGACGAAATTAACCATTGTGAAATATCATGGAATCGAACAAGCCAATCAACTCAGAAAATTATTATATGCACTACAATGTGGTGAAGGATGTAAATATTAATTGTTATTGAATCCGAGAAGAAAATTCTCCTATTTGGAGACGTTTTGATCTTCCTTCATCCTTCATCACCCTGTGGTACAGGGAACGAGATAGACCCAAAAGGAAACGAGATAGACCCATAGTTCCTTTTGAGAATATGCATAGAATCACTTTCTGAGTCGATATATGCATGTCCGTCCGTGTGTCCGTCATTTGGCATAGGTCACTTATTTGGCCCAAGGACGAACCCTATTGAAATTGGGAAAAATCGGTTCAGATTTAGATATAGCTCCTTGCCAAATGTTGCCAGACCACTTAACGTTCTGAGCCATCAACACACTTCCAAAGCAATTGGAAGCAATTGTAGGTGTGTGGATTAATTATCCATCGCTACAACAAAAAATCTGCTTTGAAAAAGACTGTTCCTAGAATGAAGACAAATATCGAACTTTGACAAATTTGAATTTAATTCGCATATGCAAGTTTCGCATCAGGGCGGAATAAATACAAATTATCTTTGTTAAGCCACATATCCCAATATGTCTGATGAGCCGCTTAACAAACGGCAAAACGCGTCGCATAATGGTGGGTACGTACATCTTTAAAACAAAATAGGTTCTTCTCCTGGCTTTACTTTTCATTGCAAAACTTATATCATTAAGCTCGACTCGAAAGAATATAAATAATCATTTAAAAAATATAGATCCTTTATATATATTCGTCCGATTTAATGTAAAAGTCCCTATATATCTTCCGATTCGCCCGAAATTTGGCATAGCGTACTAAATTCAGTGTAGAACGATGTGCGTTAAGTTTTTTGAAAATTGGTTCATATTTATATGTAGCTCCCATATATATTTTCGTCCGATTTTATGTAAATGGTGTTCCATTTGCAATTAGTTGGAGAATGACAGGTGTATGGATTTATATTAGTCCGTTCCATTATAGATAAATATCACATATTTAAATTCGTTCAATTTCCCTCTATGCTACTTCGGACATTGACATGCAATTGTTAGGATACATATGTACAATGTACCCAAAGTGGTGAAGGGTATCATAGAGTCGGCCCAGTCCGACTTTATTAATTTCCTTACTGGTTTTCTTTGCTCCGAATGTCGTGTAAGTGACGGACTAAATGTTTATATTTGAATTTCTAGTTAAGTATTATAAAAATTCATTATTCGAAAGTTCCTAATGAAAGGAAGTTTAATGGAGTTTTTTACATTCCGCATGGTATACACTCATGAGCATAAAATTATTTAGATGGATACTTCAGTAATGGTGACATATTGTCTGATCCAGCTAAAGTAAATTTAACGCCATTATTATATCTGTACGTATATAGAACCAACGTTTCAATACATTATTCCTTGACGAAAGCTTAAACGTTTGTATTCAAAATACGTTTTAAAAACACAAACAAAATGTAGAAGCGATTAATTTTGATTCCAAACGGGATTTGCTGTAATAAACTTGAAAACGATGCAATAACGGATGGCAATTACAGGAACAATACAATGGCCCGTATTATCTAATACATTTCATCTATATTGTCAAATGGTAAGTAGAGAATATAGAATTCTAGAATTATTGAAAATAACAAACCAATCACAAAACGTGTCCTAAAGAAACAATCGCACAACGATTTTAAAAGATAATTTGATTACAAACATTGATTCTTAATTATAATTGCATTACCAGGCACGCATGTGCAGTAAATGATGTCTAGTATTCAATATTCAATATTCAATAATTTTCGACTATGTCAAATTGATAAATGTTAACCGATCTATTCAATATCAAGCGGATATTGAAATCTTCATTATCGATATATTGTTGTGATCGAAAGAAGAATTTTGTATAAAAGTCAAAGAATTATTGGAATAAAACATCAGTTCGAAGATATTTAATCCTAAGAACGGTAGCAGCTCTAAAATGGTAAGCAATATAATCGGGAATGTCTAATGGGCGCCAATAATATTTAATGTATTTGCGATTTTTCTAGAAAACCATTATTATTTGCTTTGTTGCTTTGCTCTCCCTGTCCTTTGCACATGGCATAAGTAACCAATATTTACCTCCCCATGAGGGCAGTGCCTCGAGTATTTCTGCGCTGAGAGCTGCACCTATCAAAACTAACTTTGTCCAAGCGGCTTCTGCACCAGTTGTCAACTATGCCGCTCCAGCTGCTGCTGCAGTTTCTCATGGCCATAGTGGTGGTTTCCCATCTGGAGGTTTCAGTCAGGCCGCCTCAGCCCCAGCTCCTCGATTTGCAGCTCCTGCGGCTGTAGCTCCAGCTCCCCGCCATGTGGCAGCAGCACCTCATCCTGTGGCTTCAGCTCCCCATTTTGCGGCTTCTGCTCCAGCACCTCATTATGCTGCCCCTGCACCACGTCAAGTGGCTCCAGCTCCTCACTATGCTGCAGCATCAGTTCCAGTTCCCCATTATGCTGCACCAGCAGCAGTTTCACATGGTGCTTCACATCGTTTCTCCTCAGCCGCAAGTCCTCAAATTAACGTAGCCCCTGCTGCTGTCCATGGTCACAGTGGTGGTCATTCTGTAGGATTCGTTCAAGCACAATCTGCTCCAGCTGTTCGTTATTCCGCTCCAGCTGTTGCACCTGCTCCTCGTTATTCCGCCCCAGCCGCCGTACATGGTGGTGGTCATTCTGCAGGATTCGTTCAAGCTCAATCTGCTCCAGCTGTTCGTTATTCCGCACCAGCTGTTGCTCCTCGTTATTCTGCCCCAGCTGCTGTTCATGGCCACAGTGGAGGTCATTCTGCAGGAGTTGCTCATGCACAATCTGCTCCAGCTCCTCGTTATTCTGCTCCAGCTGTTCATCATGGCCATGGCGGCGGCCACTCGGTTGGTTTTGTTCAAGCCGCTTCAGCACCAGCTCCTCGCCATGCAGCTCCAGCTCCACGTTATGCCGCCCCTGCTGCCACCCAACATTTTGCAGCATCTGCACCAGCTCCTCGATATTCGGCACCTGCTGCTGTCACGCAAAGTTTTGGCAACGCCCATGCTGCCTCTGCTCCAGCTGTCAGTTATGCTGCCCCAGCCGCTTACAACAACGATTATCACGGCAATGAAGTTGGCACCCAATATGCTGCCAATGGCGGTTATGTGGTTGTTTAAATAATATTATGTTATAATCGATTTACAAAACGAATAAAACCGAACATCTTTAAAAGAAAATTAAAAATATCGTTAACATTTAGTGGGACTGCTATTATATCTTCCAGCATAAGATATACTTTCTTTATATCTTCTAAAATACTGCAAATTTAAAAAAGTGAGACTCAAACTAAAAATGATCTGAATATCTGGTTCAAAACTCAAAAAACCCGGTTCTTTCTTCCTCGAAAGCAGTTTTGTGCCTTATATGGCCTATCAATAATTTGGACAAACATTGCGAGGATGAAAAACCACATCTTGTGATATTTGGGTCCGGGCCAATAAATTCCTGATGAAAAGACTCATTCTATTCCTCATTCTATTTTACTGGCAAAATTTAATCTCCAAAAATACATGCAATGACTACAAATCAAAATATGAAGCAATCTCTTCATGTATAAAAGGGTCGTCAGAAAAAAATGATCTCCGACCTATGGCGAATTTTTGCTCCCGGGGTTTGCATATACTCACCAAGGTATTACATCACATACACATACCATTCTGAAGTTTATGAAAAATTTAATTTCAATCATGTGTATGAAATCGAGCAAAATATGTATGGGCGGTATCCAAAATATACCACGACACAAAATCTAATACACTTTATTCTAGGTTCCATTTTGCATGTTGTGCACTAATTTGTCTTACTCGGACAAACTTGAATTATTTGGGTTACCGTTTCGATGAAATCGGATGAATTACATGGAAGCTATATCTAAACTTGAAACTACTTCAATCCAATACGCTATGCAATATTTCATGTAAATTGCACATACATAGGCTCTTCCATTTGCATAAAATTCAACAAAAATATATCTGGGAGCCATATCTCCATCTGAACCGATTCCAACAACAAAATATTGTGCAAATAGAAAAGGATATACGATGCATCATTTACATAAAATGGGACCAAAGTATATATATGAACTATATTCAAATCTGAACCGATTTCAAACTTAACCAAAAACATTCTAGACTAAATTCAATATAGAACGAACATAGCTTCCTAGGTGCTCTTCAATACAATATACAAAATGTTGTCTTAATCGGATAAGCATTGGCAGTATGGTGGTCCAAATAATATGGGATCTATATCGAAATCTGAAACTATTTCAACAAATCTTCGCATAAATCTATCAGCATCTAATTCAGAGCTCTGTGCAAAATTTTGTCTCAATCGGACCAATATTGGGACTTTGGTGCACCATTTGCATAAAATCGGACGAAACTATATATAAATCTGAACCGATTTCAAAAAAATTTCGCACACATCAATCTCTTTGTAATTCAGTACGCTGTGCAAAATTTTGTCTCAATTATATTACATAAAATCGGAAGAAAATATATATGGTAGCTATATCTAAATCTGAACCGATTTTCCAGAAACTTAGCACACATAATTCTAGACTCAATTAAGTGCGCTCTGCCAAATTTCGTGCAAATCGAAAGACATATGGGGACTTTAGTGCACCATTTACAGAAAATCGGGCGAAAATATATATGGGAGCTATATCTAAGTCTGTACCGATTTTCCCCAATTTCAATAGGGTTCGTCCTTGGACCGAACAAAAAGGCTGTGCCAAATTTCATCCACATCGGATTATAAATGCGACCTGTACTTTGTTTACAATTTAACACCAACAGACGGACAGACTTGCATAAATCGACTCAGAAAGTGAATCTATGCATATTCTCAAAAGGAACCATGGGTCTTTCTAGTTTCCTTTTGCCTGTTACAAACATATGCACAAAGACATAATACACTACAACACAGTGTGGTGAAGGGTATAAAAATCTTACCCAAAATGATGTGTAGGCTATTTATTTTGGTGTATACTTAGTTCTGGGACAATATTAGAAGATTTTGTCGGGAAAATTGACTGCCTTATCAGGACCGAACATATTAAATTCTGTGTAACCCAACGATGTTTCTGTTGGGAAATTTTCAGAATTTAATCTATCAACTGTAATCAATTCGATAGAAAGAAGTGTCGAAATTACCGAAAGTCAAAAGGTATTGTACTATGGGGTCTATCGATACAACTGTATAATTTTTTGCAAGGATGTCTCCTAATATCCAAGAAGTTAAAACTATGCGATATACCTAAACATGGACCGAGATAGCCTATCCTCGAAATGTCTGTCGGCAGGCAGAGGGTCTAAAATAATAATTACAAAATTAAAAACTTTTAAACACTACGAACTATATCTAAATCTGAACCGATTTTAAACTTAATACTAGAACGCCGAAGGCGGTCATTTTGACCGCTTTCCAATTTCAAGTACAAAAGCAACTGTGCATTTAATGACACTTTTTTTTTAATTTGGTGAATTTTTTATAATAAACGTAATTCTATGAGGTACAAAAAGTCACCAAATTTTAAAAAGTGTCATTAAATGCACAGTTGCTTTTAAACTTGAAATTGGAAAGCGGTCAAAATGACCGCCTTCGGCAATCTAGTGTCAATACGCTCTATTTGACATGTTGTGCAAAATTTTCTCGCAATATGTCTTCTTGAAATTTTTTAGATGAAATCGGTCCGGAGGTCCCCATATAACGATATATAGATCCCATCCATTTTTGATTACATCGGAGATTTTAGCCACACTTCCCAAACTCCTTCGCTGGCGTATAGTTCGTCAAGAAACAGTCAGCATACCTATGATTGCCCGACCGAACTTAACGCTATATTCACTTGTTCAAATTTGAAATCCAAGTAATTTCTATTAGATAATTAATATTGCGATATATGATAATCGAGTTTCACACCACTTGTTTGTGTGTTATTTGTGGCAAATTGGACAAATAGGTTTTCGGTTTCTTTCTATTTGAAATATATATACAAATTGTTCTACAAACCTGAATAATAATTTAAAATATAAGAGTATCATTGAACCCGTTAAAATGTCCATTAAAATAATATAGTATTGAATAATAATTTGTATTGTTAACAGGCTGCAGATTATATTTTATCAATAATAAATAATTTAAAATATTTATTGGTAAAATATAACCAACATATTAGATGAGTTAGAATATTTTGGATATTTCTAACTCTGAACCAAATAAAACAAACTAAAATACTTGTCTCACATCATTCTAGCTTTGAGTTGGAAACGTATATAAAATTTCGGAATGATGAATAAGTGGTGTACAACCGGAAGTGGTGTTCATGTGGAAGCCAAATTAAAATATGAGAAGATTTATATCAAAATTTATACTATTTATTTAATTTTATGTGTGTAATTCTGAACCGATAATAAAAAAATTACAAAAATGAAAAACAAAAAAAAAACGAACGGACGGACGGACATGTATAAATCTTTAAAGTAATACTAAGTATATTCTCAAAAGTAACTATGTGTCTATCTTGTTTCCTTCTTCATTTTACATACAGATGCAGATGCACAAATACTGATCGCCATTTTGAAGGTGCTATTTAAATATATTTCTTTAATATTTTACCTTCACCGAGTATTGATTGAAATTAAAAAATAATAAATATAAAGTGAATAAAGGAATTATTGAACCCATTTAAAATATCAATTTATTTATTGTCTACGCCTAATTGTTTTATATGAATAATTTAATAAATTATTCTAAATCCAAAAAATACCAACTTAATTTTCAATTTGATTTTTATTATATCTTTATTAAAATAAAATGGTATTCAAATTATTAGTACGGCTATAAAATACGACAAAACAGTATCAAAATGAATGTTGCTTTACTTTGTATTTGTAAATGTTTTGAGTGAAGTACAGTAAAATCTCACTAATGTGGACAATGGACAGACCCTAATCAGGATTGCCAATTATTCCGGATTAACAAGGTTTAAAATTGGTTTAAATTTTTTGCATCCTTGCCTAGATTATCACATATGTCTTCTTCTTCATTTAAAGAGCGAAATAAATTTAGTGTCCAAAACGAACATTATTTTCCTAGATTCTGGGGCAGAAAATGGTTTTATTGAATTTAAATATTAAATTAGACTTCAGAACAAGGAAATATTGGTCCGATTGAGACACAATTTTGCACAGAGTACTAAATTAGTTCTAGGGTATTATAGCTTTGTGCAGCCCCAAGAGTTTGTAACGCCTAGACCCACCTTTAAGTATACCGATCGTCATATCTCGACTAGCTGAGTCGATCTAGACATGTGTGTCCGTCCGTCCGTCCATTATAATTTGTAAACACGGTACTGGCCACAGTTATGGACCAATCTTCACAAAATTTTGCATGTAGGATGGGTTGTGGACAATGATCGGATAATATTTAGGGGATGAAATAGACCAAATACTTAATATTTGTCGGCTTTTCTGGTCGCTCCAGAGGCCGTAATTATGGCGTACATCGTGAAATTTTACATGGAGAAGGAGGACGAGCCAAAGAATGAGCATTACTGTTTTGATAAAGATCGGTCAATATTTTCCGGGTCAATTGGACCCTGACTTTTATGTGAAAAAATAAAAAAATATGTTCTGGGCCGAATATATTTACTCCTGAAGGATATAGACCCGAGGAGTTGATAGTATATCCAAGAGGAGTGGTTGGCCTTTAAGATTTAGATATAGCTCCGATTCGTCTGATGTTATGTTAATGGAGCGCCAAAGAGTCATATTTAGGCCGATTGGCACAAAATTTTGAACAGTGTACTGAATTAAGGGGACCCCCCCCATTCTCGGTGTCAAAATTTTTGTTGATATAATTCGAATCTACACTGATTAAGGAATGTCTCTACAAAATTTCAAGTGAAAATCTCAAGAAGTCTTGAAGATATATCCGATATTAATGTATCAACATTAAGTGACGGCTAAAGGGCTTCTCAAACTTTAAACGCGTTTTACTCTAAACATTTTTTTGTGAATGGCGGGCACGATAACTCAAAAACCAATAATCCAATCGGTTCCAAATTTTGCAGCGTTTCTCTGAGAGTGTATTGCTCTCGTATGAACTAGGATAAAGCCA